TCTTTATTAAATACTCAAATATAGTTAGAGATTATGCATTCTAGTCATACATGTTCAAGTTGTATGTTGAGCTGCTAAGTTAGGAAGGTTGTGAAATGGTGATTATAAGTATCTTTGTCGGGTTGTTATATAAACACATAATGTGTTTATGATAGGGAACTATAGAAATCAATTGGGTTGTGTCCTATTTAGAATGTATTATAATGTTCACTATTTGTGTGTAGGTAACCTTGTGTATCTATAACAACACTATCCAGTTAATGATATAATGATCATATTGAGTGTTGATATGTACTTACAGTATAATTGCTGTTACTTTATTACCATAGTTACCTAAGGTGGGCACATGACCTAGACCTGTCCTAGCTATATTTTGTATTATTGATTACATTGTTATTATGTATCTTGGTGCATATAATGTGGCATCAATGTAAGATATTTTTGAAAGTTACTTTGTTTAATAGTTCAATACATATAACTAGAATTTTCTTGTAATTTTGTAGGCTGCCTTCTGTTTGGTAATAAAATTTGTTAATCCAAAAACGACTTCGGCTTCATCTTATACTTTGGGGAAAACTTAGAGATTACTAGTAGGAAATTTAATTTAAATTACTGTAAAATATATTTTAGCAGAAAATACATTGAAAATACAAGAAATTTGCAAAATTATTAATGCAAAAATGATGAAAAAGTGCCTGAATATCCTTCCTCCTTGCCATATCCAATCTTGATATTCTGCAGAAAAGAGGGGGGGGGGAATTTTGTACTCTAATGATGCTGGAAAATGAAGGAATTTTTTTAAAATGTGGTTTATTTGAACAACAAGAGTCGTGCTTATCTGAATTTATTTTTTTCAATTTTTTAGATATTTTTTTAAATAATGATCTGAGTAAATTCTATTTAAACATGATTATTTTAAAGCTATTTCATCACTAATGCTTATAAAAAATTCAAAAGATGATGTAAATAATAAAAAATTATAATATAAGCTACTACATGCATTTATCAGTATGTTTTAATAAAATAAAATATATTTCAGCAATGCATTCTCAAGAAGGAAGAGATTAATGAACCCTCCCCTCTTACAATGAACAACACATGGACACTCTCAGGATGGTCCCTTTGCTTTCATTAAGAGTTCCAAGGTATGGTTTTCCAAGCCAATCTAGTTAATCTATGAATATTTAAGTTATTTAGAACTTTTTATAGATTATTAGAAAATAAATTTCTTCAGAACTGCAGTTATTTAAGCACTTTGCTTACAACTGAGCACTGTATTCAATCAGACAATATGATTTATTTGCCCTTGGCATTTAATCAATTTATTAATTATGTCAATAATAAGAAATGATATGCAAATGAATATCTTTGCCTTTCATGAGAATATACATATTTAACATCAATTCCATGAAATGTCCATGGAAATTGGCTAAAATGTACGCAGCACAGTTAAGGTTACAAATGGAAATATCGGCTATTTTTTAAGATAAAAAATACATACTATATTAGGATGGGCGATTCTTTTTAGGACTTCACTGATATAAAAAAAATGTAATGTGGTTTAAACCTACATGTTGGGGACATTCAAATTTTTTTATTTAGACTTGTCATGTCATGTCGACGTCACATGACTTTAGCAATTATACTTGCAGTTTAGAGGTCATCTATAAATTTTAATATTGCAAGGGCATAACCAAGCTAAAAATCTTAGTTTAATTTATAATCCTTTTCAACACCAGATGTAGTTTGTGAAAAGTGCTGCGAACCTATATAGATTCCCATTTATAATTGCTAAAATTTAATTTTTTGTACGGCAGGTTGAATATTTTGCTGGTCAACTACATAAAATATAGCTATAATTTATTTATTTGCAAGATTTCAAGAGGTTCGCAGCACTTTTCAAATAGCTTAATGCTTCTTGAGATTATGTTTAAAATCTTGACAAGATACATTGAGGGTATGCCCTTGCAGTAAATCGATTTATTAGGGCCCTACCATTACTTTTTCGATGAATCTGCATACAAACACACGTTAGTATCTCTTGTCTGGAAAATGTACGTACAATTTATAAATAAAATACTAAAATATACATCGCATCCAAGTTAACGGCTTTTTATTTAATTGCAAATAATATTTTATTTGAGAACAAAAGACATTTTTCAGTGTACAAAATGTGACTTGATCAGCCTTTCACTGTGTACAAGCTGCGTCATTTTTGCGAGATGACGTCACATTGACAAGTGCATTGCGATCGATGCATCTTTTATATACTGTGTTGTGGGATTTAACAAACGACAAAACTGCATGTAATAGTAAGTTTGTATGTAGTATACAGCTATCTAGGTGTTTGAAATAGCATATAATTTCATTTTGTGGCATTTTGAAGACCGTATATTATGCGTGACGTCATAGTAAACATTTCCCGTACAAATTAGGCCCCGCCTCCTTACTGTAACCTTAACTGTGCTGCGTAGGTCACCCCCCTTCAAAATTACAAAATTTTCAGTTGGGATGTATTTGATTCTCTGATGCCAGCAACCCACTGCTGATAGATTTTTTTTAAATCTTATGTACATTTGAACTACATATAATTCTCTTTCTTTCCATCGATTATTTTATCTACATTAGATTTCACTCTTTCCATAACCCAGCTTTTTCTTACAAAAACCTGCTGATTTTCTTCATTTTTCATTAATAACGGGTACCTGCTACCCTGAATGATTAACATGATCTATCTTGAGAGATTATGAGAGATAATATGAAAAACAAGCAAAACATATGCTAGATTAATCATTTTATTTGAAAAGTTTGAAAGAAAAATAGAAAATTGCTTCAATTTCTAGACATCTTTTCTGTTTCACAGATGTGTGTCTGATTGACTGGGGTGTGAAATGTAACAGCCAATGGTGTACTTAAGCTAAGCCTGTCAGTCCCAATATTCAAGAGGTGAGATAAGCAATGGATATGTATTCTAAAAATACTAAATTGACCACTTTTTATAAATGTTTCTTTTACTCTATAGAATAGGTATGTATTTCATGGAAAAACATTGATTACAGCCACAAAATCAATCAGTTCCTATCTTTTTGGCATTGAGATCATATTTTTGTTAATTTTTACTATTTCTTAAAAAATTAGAGGGTTTGGGTAAATTGAGGCTCACAATGGGGACTGCACATGGTGAAAAAATGCCAAAATTTTTGCCCTAGCTCTCATATTTTCAATAAATGTACATGTAAATAATTTTAAATAAATATTTATGCTGAAATTTACTGTGAATATTGTAAATAATACAATATTGAGGTTTATGGGCATCATCAATACACAAAACATATGAATATCCCCCTCGCAGTTTGAGAAATTCATTTAAATCCATTTTTTTATGAGTGCAGACATTGGAACATATTGACTAATCCTCTTTCAAATTTGTGTAAATCAGAGTTGATTGAATAATTTATAACAAAATTAGACTGCTGTTAAGTAATTAGGTTACTTTGTTTTTATATAAGGGGCCTAATCCAGCAACAAAGGCAGTTTCAGTCATGTAATCAGTGCTGGCTTGATATAAAAGTTATACTTTGGGGAAAACTTAGAGATTACTAGTAGGAAATTTAATTTAAATTACTGTAAAATATATTTTAGCAGAAAATACATTGAAAATACAAGAAATTTGCAAAATTATTAATGCAAAAATGATGAAAAAGTGCCTGAATATCCTTCCTCCTTGCCATATCCAATCTTGATATTCTGCAGAAAAGAGGGGGGGGGGTAATTTTGTACTCTAATGATGCTGGAAAATGAAGGAATTTTTTAAAAATGTGGTTTATTTGAACAACAAGAGTCGTGCTTATCTGAATTTATTTTTTTCAATTTTTTAGATATTTTTTTAAATAATGATCTGAGTAAATTCTATTTAAACATGATTATTTTAAAGCTATTTCATCACTAATGCTTATAAAAAATTCAAAAGATGATGTAAATAATAAAAAATTATAATATAAGCTACTACATGCATTTATCAGTATGTTTTAATAAAATAAAATATATTTCAGCAATGCATTCTCAAGAAGGAAGAGATTAATGAACCCTCCCCTCTTACAATGAACAACACATGGACACTCTCAGGATGGTCCCTTTGCTTTCATTAAGAGTTCCAAGGTATGGTTTTCCAAGCCAATCTAGTTAATCTATGAATATTTAAGTTATTTAGAACTTTTTATAGATTATTAGAAAATAAATTTCTTCAGAACTGCAGTTATTTAAGCACTTTGCTTACAACTGAGCACTGTATTCAATCAGACAATATGATTTATTTGCCCTTGGCATTTAATCAATTTATTAATTATGTCAATAATAAGAAATGATATGCAAATGAATATCTTTGCCTTTCATGAGAATATACATATTTAACATCAATTCCATGAAATGTCCATGGAAATTGGCTAAAATGTAGGTCACCCCCCTTCAAAATTACAAAATTTTCAGTGGGGATGTATTTGATTCTCTGATGCCAGCAACCCACTGCTGATAGATTTTTTTTAAATCTTATGTACATTTGAACTACATATAATTCTCTTTCTTTCCATCGATTATTTTATCTACATTAGATTTCACTCTTTCCATAACCCAGCTTTTTCTTACAAAAACCTGCTGATTTTCTTCATTTTTCATTAATAACGGGTACCTGCTACCCTGAATGATTAACATGATCTATCTTGAGAGATTATGAGAGATAATATGAAAAACAAGCAAAACATATGCTAGATTAATCATTTTATTTGAAAAGTTTGAAAGAAAAATAGAAAATTGCTTCAATTTCTAGACATCTTTTCTGTTTCACAGATGTGTGTCTGATTGACTGGGGTGTGAAATGTAACAGCCAATGGTGTACTTAAGCTAAGCCTGTCAGTCCCAATATTCAAGAGGTGAGATAAGCAATGGATATGTATTCTAAAAATACTAAATTGACCACTTTTTATAAATGTTTCTTTTACTCTATAATGGTTTCCTACTTTCGCTTTCTTGAACTCAAGTTCAGTTAATAGCCATGTTTCACACTCCATTAAAATGCATTTCACATCGTACTCATGTGCTAGTGGCAAAAGATCTGCAATACTTCTTTCTGAAAAATGAAAAAAAGATTCATTCTTTTTCATGAATGTTTAACATGTTTAAACCAAAAGAATAAAAAAAACATATTTTTTTCTAATAAATTAAAAAGCATCTACCTGAAAGAGTAACACGTTCTCTCGGGAAAATACATCTCAGAAACAAAACGAAAATGGAATATTCCTTTCCAGGAAGATGAACTTCTGTTGTATTCTTTTCTTTTAAGTCGTCGGTGAGCATTTTTTTAAATACCGGTGATGCATCCATCAGCACAGCTTTGATTACATGTATTTTCTTTTCTTCCACATTGAGAGTTAGATCTGTCAGCTCTGGATCGTACGGAAAGTAGTCAGCATCTTTTTTGTCTTTTTCAAAAGATTTGTTTTCCATTTTGGTAGCCATGTCTTTTTTACGATCTTATTCGGATGATGACAAGTCAGTTTGAATTTAATGTTATCTCCCATTGATCAGGTCGAAAAGAATACATTAAGTGGATAGCGTCGTTTTAAGCGAACAGTAGACGGAGTCCAATCTAATGAATAAACAGAAGAGCGTAATGGTCTACTGCATATTTAAATTTTACTAAAAACACGTGATTCAGGCAATTAAAGTCACTATGGGGAAAGTCAACTAATAATTATCTTTAATGTTTTTTTGTGGATAATATTTAAAATAGGTCTTAATTAAGATATATTTATTTATTGCTTAAGACATACATCTTATCGTATTTCAACATTATGATATATGAAACATATGAGATAACGGACAGTATTCAAGATCAAAAGTCCATAAAACAATACAAAATAGGAGCAGAAGAAATGTGCCAAAACATCAGAGGTGGGATCAGGTGTCATGAGGAGTGATAGTCCCCTGCCGACCGGTGACACCCGCTCTGTGTTCCTTGTCATGATCAGGAAGTAACGAGAAAATCCGTCTTCAATTCAGAGTATATACAGCCAATTGTGCCTAACGTTAATTTAACATTAATTTAACGTTACATATTTAACGTTAAATTAACACGAAAGTAACATTAAACTAACATCAAGCTAACATCTATTTAATGTTAAATGAGATTAACACTAAATAAACGTTAGGCGCAATTGGCCATGTAAATAATGGACTAACAATTAGTATGAAAAACCTCAGTCAGTATTTGACTCAATGATAAATTGTGTTTGCTCACAATGTCACTGTATCTACCATAGAACTCACGAAATGATGACTTTAAACGAAACGGATGATATTCTTGTTTCATCAACTTGCTTGTCAATAATTCACCTCGTTTTAGAAAGTGTTCATATGTTGAGTATGCTCGTGCGTATCGAATCAAGTGAAATATAAAAAGCACCGCATGCAAATGATGAAGGTATATTGCTGCATAAGTAAGGGTCTGCAAATCCATAAAACAATTTTGGAACAGAACAGACAGGATCTCATAAAGTAGAAGTGGAATCAGGTGCCATAGAGAATTAAGCATCACCTGCAGACCGGTGTCGTAAAGTGAGATTTCTCTCCAAGACCTCCGCCCCGAAGACTGGCTATATAATGAGATTTTCCCCGCGAAAGATTGAATATATAGTGATACGTATCATAGGGAGGTATCGTTATTCATCATTAATTGGTCATTAATGAGTAGTTTACATCAATGTAATTAAATATAGAAATAACAAGCATAAGTCAAGAATTACATGTATCACAATCACAAAGTGATTTAGTCAAAATGCAAACAGAATTAACTGCAGACATGGATGTTTTATACTGTTAACATGGTTAAGTATTTTATTTAAATATATACATCAGAAACAAAACAAAAGATGGATGTGCTATTCGCAAAATGGGGAGTCTTATGCCTTTTTATCTTAAAGTTATTGTGACTCCTTAAAAATGTTAAGGAATCTATTGTGCAACTTTTTCCTCAAGAGTGGATTGTAAAGAAAAAAATGTACCTATAAGTCCTCCGATTCCTTCAAAGTTTTGTCTCATTGGCATTATCGTCAAAAACAACATTATGAGTAAAGGTACGTGAGTTGATTGATCTGCAGAATTGTTTTCTTTTGTTTTCGTTGTTGTTGTTATGCTTCCTCGCTAGTTAGACTCACGGCGCAATAGATAGCCAGAAAATGAATTGGGCTGATCTGCTGATCGATAAGATCAGATGTATTGCAAAAACTTAAACAAGAAACAGAATAGTTAACAGAAATAACAACAAACAGAACAGGAAACGGAATGAATAATAAAAACTTCGAGAAATAATCGATGATGATACATGTATTACAAAGAGATATATAATCTCTGGTATTTATTTCAAAAGTTACATTCTGGAGTGTTTTATTTAAAAAAAAAATCCTTCGAATTGAAATTGAATCTTACAACAACCATCATAATCAACTAAATACATGAATTTTATGGAATCACGTTTCTTGTACAGTGTATACGGGATTCAATTTTGATCCACACGCAGAGCTTTAATAAAAGTGCAGCTGAGAGAGGCACAATACTTGTATTTGGTTTGTGTTGATAACGAGTAATAATAATATGTTCTTAAATGAATAAATTAGCTGAACACTGAAAGACAGTTTGTTCAGAAGTCGTTGATACTTTAGTTTGTTGACCAAACAATCCGGATGAACCAAATGAGTTAGTGGTGTTTAATAATGTTCCCATTTCTTCAATCTTAGTAAGCCGTGCTTCAATAAGTTCTCGTTTATTTTTCTCAGGAAGTTTCTGGTAGAATTGATTCGTTTTATATCTGGTAAGCTTATGTGGAATCATTAATTGGAAAGCTTTAGCATACAATTCTCTCAAGCAGTACTCACTGCCATAGTAAAGGCACTTCGTTAGGTATTCGACGTCATTTTCTACATTTACATAATGGTTTTCTACTTTCGCTTTCTTAAACTCAAGTTCAGTTAGTAGCCATGTTTCACACTCTCTTAAAATGCACTTAACATCGTACTCGTGAGCTAGTGGCAAAAGATCTTCGATACTTCTCTCTGAAAAATAAAAAAGAGGTTTATTCTTTTTTATGATCGAAAAATTACGTTTTTTGATAAATAAAAAAAATCATCTACCTGAAAGAGTAACATGTTCTCTCGGGAAAATACATCTCAGAAACAAAACGAATATGGAATATTCCTTTCCAGGAAGATGGACTTCTGCTGCATTCTTTTCTTTAAAGTCGTCGGTGAACATTTTTCTAAATACAGGTGACGCATCCATAAGCACAGCTTTGATTACATGTAGCTTCTTTTCTTCCACGACGAGAGTTAAATCTGTCAGCTCTGGGTCGCACGGGAAGGAGTCAAAATAGTTTTCGTCTTTGGCAGAATAATCGTCTTTTTCAAAAGGTTTGTCTTCTATTTCGGTCGCCATGCCTTTTTATGATCTTATTCGGAGGATGACAAGTCAGTTTGAAAGCGGAGGTGAAGTTTTAATGTTATCTCCCATTGATCAGGTAGAAAAATATAGAGTCTATAACATAACCCAGTCTTGGATTCCGGGAAAATTATTTCCGGATTGGTTTTCACATCTATAACTTTCTTGAACGCCGAACCCGATTGTTATTCTTCATATCATTGACTGACGCGGTCATGTATTTTATGGAAGGAATTCCGGTATGCTGCTTTGTTTTCAACTACGACCTTTTTCTTCACAACAGCTGCATGAAAAGGATGAAGAAAATAGGTATGAACGAAGTAAACATAGAGATATGTTTTGAAATAGTGATTGAATATGCGGTGTAAACACACCAGGTCCAGCACAATACCCCGATAAAGGTATATAGCTTGATAAAGCTATATAGCTTTATCAAGGTATTTAAAATACCTTGATCAAGGTATTTTATGTACTGAAAATTCAAAAAAAATCTATAAAAATTAATTACTGAAAGTCGAGTTATATTTTAGCATACGAGAAATCAATTTATAATATGTATATATATAAATACCAATTTTCTTCAAGTTTTGCCAAAGCTCAACTTGATAAACAACCTAACCTAGTCATGGTTCCACATAAAGTCTATAAACAACGTAACCCAGTCATGGTTTAACATGACCAAGTCTTTAAAGAACCTAACCCATTCACGGTTCTACATAACCAAGTCTATAAACTACCTAACCAAGTCACGGTCCTACATCACTACATCTGTAAACTACCTAACCCAGTCATGGTTCAACATGACCAAGTCTCTAAACCACCTAACCCAGTCACGGTTCAACATGACCAAGTCTATAAAGAACCTAACCCAGTCACAGTTCTACATAACCAAGTCTATAAACTACCTAACCCAGTCACGGTTCAACAAATCCAAGTCACTAAACTACCTAACCCAGTCACGGTTCTACAAAACCGAGTCTATAAACTACCTAACCCAGTCACGGTTCTACATAACCAAGTTTGTAAACTACCTTTACCAGTCACGGTTCAACATAACCAAGTCACTAAACTACATAACCCAGTCACGGTTCTACATCACCAAGTCTGTAAACTACCTAACCCAGTCACTCTTCTACATAACCAAGTCTATAAACTACCTAACCCAGTCACGGTTCTACATCACCTAGTCTCTTAACTACCTAACCCAGTCACGGTTCAACATGACTAAACACCCAGTCACGGTTCAACATGACCAAGTCTCTAAACCACCTAACCCAGTCACGGTTCAACATAACCAAGTCTATAAACTACCTAACCCAGTCACGGTCCTACATCACTACATCTGTAAACTACCTAACCCAGTCACGGTTCAACATGACCGAGTCTATAAACCACCTAACCCAGTCACGGTTCAACATAACCAAGTCTATAAACTACCTAACCCAGTCACGGTTCTACATAACCGAGTCTATAAACTACCTAACTCAGTCACGGTTCAACAAATCCAAGTCTATAAACTACCTAACCCAGTCACGGTTCTACATAATGAGTCTGTAAACTACCTAACCCAGTCACGGTTCAACATAACCGAGTCTCTAAACTACTTAACCCAGTCACGGTTCAACATCACCAAGTCTGTAAACTACCTAACCCAGTCACGGTTCAACATAACCAAAACTATAAACTACCTAACCCAGTCACGGTTCTACATAAGGGTGAAACGTTTACTGAATTTTGTAAACGTTTAAACGGATAGCAGTAAACGAAACGGTACCGTTTAAACGGGAGATATTCTATGTTGGATTTTTATGACTACTTACTCATGAAACTCGGATTTAATAATCAATTCTTTCACTTTAATATAAATATGAGTTGTTATTACAATTTTATTGTTGGTAATTATGACTTAAACATAAGAATTTGAGGTGCATTAAACTCATTCACTTTCTTCCTCGTTATCCAACTGCTTGGTTTGTTTGGCTACATACCGGACGTTGAAAAAAGAATTGTAAGGATGGATCTGTTAATCTCGAAAAAAGTAAAACAAGACCTGCTGACTGTATCGAAACACTTTTCAAAGACTTGTGAAAAATGTATTATATTTATTTATAAATCAAAACATATCAAGTTTTTTATTTCAAGTGTCGTAAAACATCGCTAGTATTGGCAACTCGGAAATCGGAATTAAATACGTTAGACCGTATCAGGTTTTAGATGTTTTTATTCAGTATGTTTCCGGTTTAGATTGCTTATCATAGGGTCAAAGACGGTGTTTCTTTTGTAAATTATGAAATAAAACAATTTGTCTGTGTTAAACTTTATTTCTGATAGACATTGATAATGACCTTCGTGTAAACGTTTACTCAAACTCTAAACGTATAGAGCATGTAATCGAAACGTCGCCGTTTACACGTGTAATCGTTTCGCCCTTAGTTCTACATCACCACATCTGTAAAGTACCTTACCCAGTCTTGGTTCAACATCATCAAGTCTGTAAACTAATTAACCCAGTCACGGTTCAACATCACCAAGTCTATAAACTACCTAACCCAGTCACGGTTCAACATAACCAAGTCTATAAACTACCTAACCCAGTCACGGTTCTACATCACCACATCTCTAAACTACCTTACCCAGTCAGGGTTCAACATCATCAAGTCTGTAAACTACTTAACCCAGTCACGGTTCAACATCACCAAGTCTATAAACCACCTAACCCAGTCACGGTTCAACATCACCAAGTCTATAAACTACCTAACCCAGTCACGGTTCAACATCACCAAGTCAATAAACTACCTAACCCAGTCACGGTTCTACATCACCAAGTCTATAAACTACCTAACCCAGTCACGGTTCAACATAACCAAGTCTATAAACTACCTAACCCAGTCACGGTTCTACATAACCAAGTCTATAAACAATATAACAAAGTCTATATACAACATAACCAAGTCTCAATACAACTTTACCCAGACACAGTTCAACATAATAAAGAATCTAAACAACCTAACCCAGACACGGTTCAACATATCCCAGTCATTGAGAAATGAATTCATTGCACCATTGTAAATTCATTTAAAATCTTCATCTCTTTTTAGATCTTTTATTGTAGTCTGAACACACATGTCAACAAAATTGTTTATTGGTGCAGGATGGCTCGTTTTGTTCAAATTAATATTTAACATGATTGAAAGTTTTTAAGCTATTTGCATATGTATTTATTTGTTTCATTAATTATTGAATATTTATCAATACATGTAACATGTATAACAACATGAAATTTTATGGACATATTTTTCAGGTGTAGAAAACAAACCTCATCACCAGAAGTCTCTGAAGAAAATGGTCGTGAAACTTAAAGAAGACGTAAAGGTCTCACCTGTAGAAAATATAGAAAATCATTTTTATGTACAGTTAACAGACTGGGAAAAATCATAGAAGTCTCAAGAAAGGAGAGGTAACATAATGAAATTATAAAAGGTGCTATTATAAAGATCAATGCATTTATATTCAGGGACTGACTGACAGATTTTTAAGGCACTTGTCCAAGGGCAAGTACATGGTCAAAATTCACTTGCACAACCTGAATTTTTGCTTGTCCTACCATAACCTAATACTGTATTTTAATATAAATATTTTTAAATTGAAGAGGAAGACAAATACTAAGTAGATCATATGGCTTTTTTAAAACCACTTGCCCATGGGCAAGTGATCGATAAAATTTCACTTGCCCACCCCTAAAATTCACTAGTTCTGGGCGTTCGGGAATAGGACCTGACCCTCTATGGGATATTGTTACAAGTTATTATAGCAAGTGTTTAAGTGGATCTAACATCATTCATTTTAATTTTAATTAGATTGTTCAAGTCATGACACCTGGGGGTAAGGTGGGGGCCACAATGGCTGATCAAAGTTTTACATAAAAAAAAATAGGAAAACTTTTTAAAATCTTCTTCTCAAGAATAGCAAACCTGTGATTGGTCATATTTATATAGCAGCATTCTCAGGTAGTGTAAATTCAAGTTTGTTCAAATCATGACCCTCAGGGATAGGGTGGGCCAGAATGGCAAATCAATGTTTGGGCAGCAAAGCCATGATTGGTCTTATTTTAGTTTGGGGGCACAATGTAATTTCAAATGTAAAGGTCAATAAAGCCACAGGTAGTCAAAGAAATATCCAAGCATCCTTAGGTTAGTGCAGACTGAAGTTTGATCAAATCATGCCCTCTTTCCTTTAATTGGTTGGGACCACTTTTGGGTTTAAACTTTAATCATAAACTGATTTCTGTTTTTTTTTCCTAGCCACAGTGCTTTGGTGAGTGATGTGGCCCATGGGCCTCTTGTTGAATGTTTAGTTTTTATGTTTTTTACCTCATGACCTTGATCTTGAATTATGACTACTGTGGTTTCATCAATTTTCGTTGGCATCAATTTTCTTGGATTTTGTAAAACAGACATTTTCGAGGATACGTAATTTCGTGGACAAAGGCATTGCCTATACAAATGAATGTCATATTTCGTAATTCAATGAACATTTAAATTCGTGGATCTGCTCAACAACGAAATCCACGAAAATTGGTGCTCAACGAATATTGATGAAACTACAGTACCTTTGAAAAACTTAAATCTCACATAACCATAGATTTTTTTAATTTTCTGTGTTAGGGTCAGCATTCATTTCAGATGTGCATTCCTTATTACAAGACTTTTTCAAATGATACCAAAATTTTGACCTCTTAACCTCATTGTTGAGTCCCAAACAAATTTGTTTTGTTTTTTTAAGATTTTATCTTGAATATCTTGAGAATAATGATTTAATATATTTTTCCAGTTCGCCTCCACCAGGACTATTTCCCTTAACTGCATGTTAGGAAATATTCCTGGCCTGGGGGATCTGGATCTTTGGTAACTCCCCCAGTGATACAAGTACTGTGGTTTCAATATCGTTTTGTACATATTTTATCAGAGATTATGACGTAAATCAACTGAGTCACGTGACCATACATCGTTCATCCCCTTAAATCTTTTTTTTGTTTTTTCACTTATTTTAGGGGTATGTTCAGTTCTCCAGGATGTTACCTTTATAGTTTGAAAAACTGCCAAAATGGAAAGGTTTTAACATCACTGGAAGATGGGTATGATAAATTTTATTTTTTCAGAATAAATTAAAGAAAATAGATATGCATATTGTAAAGTGAATTTGTGATTCTTTGATAACCAATTAACTTATTAACATTTAAGGTAAACCATACGTGGAGACCAGTCTTTATATCCATAATTTAATTAGTCTCATCTGAAGTGCTATTAAAATGACTAATATTCAAAAGAATTCCATTCTTACCCTTATTTATTTTCATTCTCTTTAAGGACAGGACAGAGTTTTAATGAAGAAGTTTGATATTTTAAAGATGTGTTGCTTGTTTAGGCAAGAATCATTACCCAAGCTTCCAATTCCATTGTCAAGAACATCACATATAGAAAAGCCGAAGAACTTCTATACCCAGTGAAATAGCAGTTTTATGTTTTGATTGACTGAGTTAACAAATTTGTTTTGCTCTTCATCAGTATCTGTATAAATTATATATTTTACAAGTTTGCTATTGGTATATGGTTTACAGGTATATTTATACCTCTGCTCCGAAGGAGAGGGGGGTATACTGTTTTACCCTTGTGTGCCTGTCTGTGTGTCTGTTGATAACAAATTTTCGTCGCAGTTTTCTCAGCAATTCCTCTTCTTGAATGCTTGAAATGTTAACACAATCTTCTCTGAGGCATGCCATATAGTGGGATACATTTTTAGCTCTTCTGAGCCAAAGGCTCAAAGAGCTAATGCTATGGCCATTTGTGCGGTGTGCGGTGTGTGTTAACTTTTTAGAATATGGGTCATAACTCAAGAACCCCTTGGCCAATCAGTGTCAAATTTGTCACAGGGTATCCTTGGCCCAAGGGCTACCATTTATACTAAAATAAGGGTTGGGACCCTAAAACAAGGGGAGATAATCAGGAAAACAAAACCAAAAGTACTGGTTGCAAAAAAATCTTCTTCTCCATAACCACTGGGCAGATTTTCACCAAACTTAGATACAATGATCAGGATATGTTGAAGATTAAAAATTGTTCAAGGCATGACCCTGGGGCAAAGGGCGTGGTCTCAAGGTCACTTCAAAGTTGACCTAAATTTACAATTAATGAAAATGTCTATATTTTGCTTACTATAAGGACTAGGATCATCAAATCTTGTAAGTAGATGCATCTTAAGACTTCACATCATGTTAACTCAAAAGTAGGTCACGGTGACCTACTTTTTTAATTTTGCGGGCATTTGTTTTCAAATTGATTTGAAGGCATATTTTGGATACTTTAAGGCCTATGATCATCAAACTTTGTTAGTTGATGCATCTTGGGTCCTTGAACAAGGTCAACTTAAAAGTAGGTCACCTTGACCTACTTTTTGAACTTTATGACTTATCCTTTTTAAAACATTTTATCCCATTATTTCAGACACTGAGAGGGTTAGAATCATCAAATCTTGTAAGTTGCTGCATCTTGGGACCTTAAAACATATTTAAGTAAAAGTAGGTCACTGTGACCTACTTTTAGAATTTTGCAGGCATTTGTTTTCAAATTGTTTAAAAGGCATATTTTGATTACCTTCAGACCAATGATCATCAAACTTGGTCAGCTGATGCATCTTGGGACTCAGAAAAATGTCAACCAAAATGTAGGTCACTGTGACCTAATTTCGACATTTTATGGCTGTATTTCAGTATCTTAGGTATTTATTGGCTTAGAATCATCAAACTTTGTTAGTTGATGCATCTTGGGTTTTCGGAGAGTGACGACCAAAAATTAGGTCATGGTGACCTACTTTCAATATTTTATGGCTATATTTATGTATCTCCAGTACTTATCGGTTTAGAATCATCAAACTTTGTCAGTTGATGCATCTTGGGTTTTCGGAGAATGTCGACCAACAAGTAGGTCACGGTGAACTACTTTTGACATTTAATGGCTATATTTATGTATTTCTGGTACTTCTCGCTTTAGAATCATCAAACTTTGTTAGTTTATGCCTCTTGGGTTTTCAGAGAATGTCGACCAAAAAGTAGGTCACAGTGACCTACTTTTGAATATCTCAGGTATTTATTGGCTTAGAATTATCAAACTTTGTCAGCAGATGCATCTTAGGCCTCAGAAAAATGTCAACCAAAATGTAGGTCACGATGACCTACTTTTGACATTAAATGGCTATATTTAAGTATCTCCGGTACTTATTGGCGTAAAATCATCAAACTTTGTTAGTTTATGCCTTTTGGGTTTTCAGAGAGTGTCGACCAAAAAGTAGGTCACGGTGACATACTTTTGAATATCTCAGGTATTTATTGGCTTAGAATCATCAAACTTTGTCAGTTGATGCATCTTGGGTTTTCCAAGAATGTTGACCAAAATGTAGGTCAAGGTGATCTACTTTTGAATATCTCAAATACATATTGGCTTAGAATCTTCAATCTTAGTTTGTCTATTAATGCATCTTGAGTCCTCAGAAAACTTCAATCTTAAAGTAGGTCACCGTGACCTACTCATGTTTTTTTTTTATAGCTTTATTAAAATATCTTCAGTCCTAATTGGCTAAGAATCATCAAACTTTTTATCAGTTGATGCAACTTGGGTTTCAGGATACTTAGGGTTAGAGGCTTCAAATACAAGTGATAGGTTGTACAATTTATCAGAAGAGCGATTCAAGGCCCTTGGGCCTCTTGTTATTCAAATCCGATGTCAACTTCCTGTTTGTCTGTGCATCCATCGTTTTCATACATAACAAATTTTATCACAGTTTTCTCATTAACTACTTATAGCAGATGTTTGAAATTGTACTACACTCTTTGTTTTGGCATGCCATATGGTGGAATTAATTTTGAAATGAATCTGATGTCAACTTCATATTTTTCTGTGAATCTGCCTGTAAGTGTATATTAACATGATAGTGTGTATTTACATCAGAGCGGGGATATTACTAGTGAGCATTGGCTCAGTGATTTCTTGTTTGATCAGCATCTGATGAAATTTTATTGTTATGACATACAAATGGACTCTATCAGAGCTGATCCAGTGTGTCTGGTTAATTTAGATAAACTCATAAACCCTGTAAATTTTGAGTTCAGTCAAATTAAATGCACTCCAGATTGCTTTACTTGTAATTCTTATTTGAACCATAGTTTACATATTGGTATATGAATACTTGATGTTAATAAACGATGAAAACGAAGTCGAGATGAGCTTATGCTATACCCCCGGCTTCAGCGTTAGCATCGGCGTCCCAGGTTAAAGTTTTAGGAGCAAGTCCATTCCCAAGTAACTATTAGCCCTTCCTGGACCAAACTTGCATGGATGATGCATCTAGAGATGGAAACAACCAGACTTGCTTCGGATGCTGGATCTGACCTACATTTTCCACATGAGTGATCAGGTTAAAGTTTTTGGAGCACATTCATTCCCTAATGAACTTCTAGACTTATTTAAGCAGAACATGATAGAATATTGTTGTCAGAATAATTATAAAGTGTTAAGAAAATATGATGTGAGATTTGCATTACTTAAACCAATAACATTCGTCGAGGTTAGCTTCGTAATCTTTGATTACCTATGTTTCAACTTTGCATTACTAGTATACCCTCAGCAGAGCATTCATGTCCTATGGACATATTTCTGGTTATCTTGATGTCCCTCATTGACTGGACCCAATTGCTGCAGATACTGGTAAATCCGAAATGATAAAGCGGTATGAACAGATTGAATACATGTATTTTGGTTAAGTTTAGTAACGATGCTCGCAAATTAAACTTTTTAATTTTCTGTAAATTGCATGTAACTGTGGCGGTCAGCCAGACTCGATAACCCGTGGCCAGATTGCTCAGTTGGTAGAGCACCTAACAAGAGTTTCAGGGGGCCTGGGTTGAATCCCGCTCAAGTCCGCAGCATTTTCTCCTCTACCTTTACATTTGGAGCCATGCCCTGGAATCGACATGTGAAAGACCTGCTAGGATGAGCCTGGGTTTGGGTCTTTGGAGAGCAAAAGACTTTTAAGTAGGGAAGAATGTGGCGGTCAGCCAGGTTCGATCTCCGTTGGCCAGATACTTCGGTTGGTAGAGCACCTAACCAGTTTTTCAGGAGGCCTGGGTTCGAATCTCGGTCTAGTCCTCTGCATTTTCTTCTCAACTGTAACAGATTTGGTGTCGTTGACCACTCCTGGACTTGCAGGTGAAATTCCTGCCAGGGGCTACAAAGAACTTGGGTTATGTCAAGGGTGAAGACCTTTTAAGAAAGGAGGAATGTAACAGACTGGACCCTGGATATTAGTTGAACCATGCCTGGGTTAGGTAGTTTAGAAACTTGGTTATGTTGAACCGTGACTGGGTAAGGTAGTTAAGAGACTTGGTTATGTTGAACCATGACTGGGTTAGGTAGTTTAGAGACTGGATTATGGTGAACCGTGACTGGGTTAGGTAGTTAAGAGACTTGGTTATGTTGAACCGTGACTAGGTTAGGTAGTTTAGGGCTTGGTTATGTTAAACCGTGACTGGTTAGGTAGTTTAGAGACTTGTTTATGTAGAACCATGACTGGGTTATGTAGTTTAGACTTTTTTATCTTGAACCGTGGGGTTATGTAGTTTAGAGACTTGTTTATGTAGAACCGTGACTGGGTTATGTAGTTTAGAGACTTGTTTAGGTTGAACCGTGACTAGGTTATGTAGTTTAGAGACTTTTTTATGTAGAACCGTGACTGGGTTAGGTTGTTAAGAGACTTGTTTATGTAGAACCGTGACTGGGTTATGTAGTTTAGAGACTTGTTTATGTAGAACCATGACTGGGTTATGTAGTTAAGAGACTTGTTTATGTAGAACTGTGACTGGGTTATGTAGTTTAGAGACTTGTTTATGTAGAACCGTGACTGGGTTAGGTAGTTAAGAGACTTGTTTATATTGAACCGTGACTGGATTAAGTAGTTTTGAGATTTATTTATGTAGAACCATGACTGGGTTATGTAGTTAAGAGACTTGTTTATGTAGAACTGTGACTGGGTTAGGTAGTTTAGAGACTTGTTTATGTAGAACTGTGACTGGGTTAGGTAGTTAAGAGACTTGTTTATATTGAACCATGACTAGGTTATGTAGTTTAGAGACTTTTTTATGTAGAACCGTGACTGGGTTAGGTAGTTAAGAGACTTGTTTATATTGAACCGTGACTAGGTTATGTAGTTTAGAGACTTGTTTATCTAGAACCGTGACTGGATTATGTAGTTTAGAGACTTGTTTATGTAGCACCATGACTGGGTTATTTAATTTAGAGACTTGTTTATGTAGAACCGTGACTGGGTTAGGTAGTTAAGAGACTTGTTTATATTGAACCTTGACTGGGTTAGGTAGTTTAGAGACTTATTTATGTAGAACCGTGACTGGGTTATGTAGTTTAGAGACTTGTTTATGTAGAACCATGACTAGGTTATGTAGTTTAGAGACTATATTTATATTGAACCGTGACTGGGTTAGGTTGTTAAGAGACTTATTTATGTGTAACTGTGACTGGGTTAGGTAGTTTAGAGACTTGTTTATGTTCAACCATGACTGTGTAATGTTGAATAGTGACTGGGATATGTAGTTCAGTGGCTGGGTTACACTGTTCGGTGACTGGGATCTGTTGAATCATGACTGGATTACTAAGTTTCCCTGTGTATCGGATTTTAGTTTCCGATGAATGTTTTTTTTTAATGAGTTATGTGAGTTATGGCACAGTTGAACATTTTATTAGGTTATGTTGAGCACCTATATCATCATATATTGCTCGTTGAACGTTATTTTATTTCTAGAACCTAATTCCTTTTATCCAGGTTCACATTTAGAGACTAATTACCTAGCTTTATATGGGCTGGATTCCTTATAACAACCTTCTTTTTGTCTCGGTAGATTAACATACTTAATCAAGTAAATAATATTCTGCAGTACGTGCACATGCTAAGTACTAAAGTACAGTACCGACCGGACACAACCTAACACCAGAGCGAACCCGGAGCGGACCCCGGGTTCGCTTCCCGGGTTCGCTCGGGGTCCGCTTCGGGTTCGCTTTCAGAAATTTTGGGACCGCTCCGGGTGCGCTTTGGGTGCGCTCCGGGTTCGCTCGGGGTCAGCTCTGGGTCCGCTAGAGCGAACCCGGCGTTCGCTTCCTGGGATCGCTATACGCACTGATGCGTGAAGCGGACCCCGCTTTAATCTCACCGCCAGTTAGCCCCGCCCCTTGTTTATTCCAATACAGTAATGGTATTGTGGATCGATCATTGTTGTTTTTGCGACGATGATGACATGTACACTGTACATGTAAACAGTGTTATAATCATGATAATGAAGAACAAATAATTGATAATTTTTTTAAAATTCAACTGTACATTCGACGAAGATTTATATGTACATGAATAATTGTTTTTATTGATTTTTCGATCATTGTCTTTATAAAATTCTTACGCCTTTATCAATAATTTTTTCCCAATAATTAGTCCAAAAACATTTCAATATTTATAATTGATCATAATTCATATGTTAAAATATCCCTTCTATATAATATTTATCTGATTATTCTTTGTCAAGTATAGTTACGCTATTTTGAGAGAATGAAACAATGTACAATTTACTAAATGTCGAGATTAATTAGAATAATTAATTCGTTCAATTATGGAAATCGCACTTCAGCTGAGTTTACCCCGATAAACCAGACGTATTTCATAGCGGTCCGGATTTCTTTCTTTAATAGTGTATATTCATGTATTCATGTATAATTCTACGTGGAAAATTAAAACATAATAATTATTTTCCTTAATAAACAAAAAGAAAATAAGAATATAAATATGCAACCCGGAGGATTAAAATAAATAAATATTAAATAATATTTTTATAATCATAATAGATTTACACAGCACATTCACACGTTTTTGCTTGTATGTACAGGGTTTGCATTTATATCGAATTAAATCAACACGTTCGATCTTATATCCCAATCGTCGGATTAATATGCTATTTCGATTGGTTGATACGCTGATTGGTTAATCGCTAATCCCGATTGACAGCTCTGTAAAGAAATACCGAACCCGCGTTCGCTCTCTGGGACCGCTACTGAATTTGGGGCTCGCTCTATGGGTCCGCTTCGGGTTCACTCGGGGTCCGCTACGCGGGTTCGCTTTGGGTCCCCTCCTGGTTCGCTCGGGGTAAGCCCTAGCGGACCCCGAGCGAACCCGGGGCGGACCCAGAGAGCGCACCCGGGGTCCGCTCCGGGTTTGCTTTCTGTTAGGTTGTGTCCGGTCGGTACTGTAGGTCACTAGTTCTACTTTGGCATGCTTGTGTATAGAAGTGATACTAATGGGTCATGAAATTTATTATGTTTACTATTAAATACCACAAACTTAGTGAAATCGTACTTTCGCTTGGATGTCATAATATTAGGTCTCCGATTATAAATCGAATTAGTTGCCACACATCATCATCATGTTTACAAAAGTATATTGCATCGGGATCGAATATGTGTTCTATTACAAAAAACCATACCGGAAATAATATTCCCGAAATCCAGGACTAGGTTATGTTATAGACTCTACCATATTGCCGAAAAATATACCTTAAATGGATAGCGTCGTTTAAAGCGAACACTGGTTTTATCCAGTGAATGAACAAATAAGCGTAATATAATATTTTAATACAAACACGTGGTTCAGGCAATTTTAAGTGTCTGTTGGAATCTAAACTAATATTTTTTTTGTGAATAATACAAATAGATATGGAGAGAACGATCATAGGCATTTATGTCTGCTGTTCAATCCAATCCGATGTATAAAATATATTTTAAACTAAAGAATAGATACTTATTAAGGTTTTTTTTATCTGTTTCTTATAAGAGATATATGTTATCGCTTTTCGACAAAGACACTTACCAAAAAATATACACAAAATATTACTGTCATTGTATGACGGGTTTTGTAGATTACAAATATATAAAACAATACAATAATATTAATGAATTATGGAAAATAACCCTATGAAAAAAAGCTTCCTTTCAACTTAAATTAAAAGCTACTTTTCCCTAAATTACAGAGATCGTGGACATTGTGAGCACCTACAAATTGTACAAATAAAGAGCAGATGGTTTCTGTCAATAATTTATCTTGATATACTTGTATTTTATATACCATATATGCATCAATAAGAAGTTTAAAAGATCTTTGCAGGATACCAGAGTCAAACGAGCAGCTGATGTAGCCTCAGATCACCATCTACTGACAGGCAGCATCAAGCTGAAGCTTAAGAAAATGAAAACAGAAGAAAACTCTCAGAGAATCAGATATAACACCAGGTTTCTTCAAGATACTCAACTCT